ATTGTGGCCTCTTACTCCGACAGCGGAGGTCTGAGTCAGAAAGAACGTAAAACACACGAAATTGTGCGGAATTCACTTGGCTCGCAATGGCACACAATCACAATCCCCTTGTGTTGGAAACAGTAACATTTATACAAAAAAAATAGTTTCTAATGTTGAAAGAGAAACAAAAAAATGTAAATTAGGATTTTAAACGATGCTGATATAAATAAGATTTCCATAATTTTCCAAACTTTTTTTTTTTCATTTCATTTTTGTTATTTTGACCAGCGTTGAACTTCCCTTGGGTCGTGAGATCCGACAAACATTGGGTCTGATTGGTTCATCCGTTTTTTGGATAAAAAAGCAGAAAGCTAAATGTATGTAATTATTAAATAGTTTTTAATGATACAAATATCGAGTAGTTTGCAATCTAACACTTGATTTAACCAACGTGTTCAACCTAACCAACCCTAGTTTAAAGGGAGTGTTCGCGAAAAATGAAAGGGGGTATAGGCTTATAATGCGATAAAAAAGCGCTTTTGATCGCTACTAATCTTACTTCTATCTGTTGCGTCTATAAGGAGAAAATTGTTAAAAACGACTAATACCGAATAACTTAGTGCCCATACAAATTGAGAACATTGCAACGTACTACATAGACCGTAAAAAAATCAATTAAATTTCAAACAAATCATTCAGATATAGGGGGGGATGACGTACCCGACTATCTCCCTTTCTCCCATTATCCTCCACTAAAATCAACTAAAATGCTGCGTAGGAAAAGAAGATTTTATAATCCTGATACTTCATACATTATTGTATTATTAGGATATATAAACCGTCGACCTTACACAGATCCAGACAGCTGTGAAAAGTTGCTCCAATTTTCAAGACTTGGATGACTTCACAGTGTCGCATTGTCCTGGTTTGTGATTTCAGTTCACACACTTTTTATAATTACACGTGTACTTTTTATAATTATGATAGTTTTTAGCTTTATTATTTGAGAAGTAATTGGCAATACTCTCATCAATTTTTGCGCAATAGTTTGCACACTTTGGATCACTGTGACCTCAGTTAATCAAAATGAGTTTGAACAACCCCGGGGGCCTGAGCTTAGAAAAGAAAAATCTCCATGTGATTTGAATAAAACGAATTTCTATCATTCACAGAACATTTAAATAAATATTCAACATTTCTATCAATCAATCAATGTCTAGTTTAAATCCAGGACTTTATTTAAAACATCATCTATTTCAAAATTTGGGTGTTTATGTTTTTTTTTATTCAATTTTTCTGGACAGGGAATAAAACTGTTTCTCCTAAAATCAGCTTCTTAACAAATATTTTTAATGATGACAGATAAATCTGCGAAATCTCATATCGTCATTGTTAAATGATGCATGGAGGAAAGTTTTGGCGCGTAAAAAACTTTTAAAAAACTGTAAGAAATTAGAAAATAAATATGCATTGGCCGGGTAGTTTTAGACTTTTCTCAAACCATTCGTTAACGGTTAATTGTAGGTTAAGAATAGATTTTTGCCTAAAAGCTTTCGACATTTGTATCACTTAAAAAATTGGACGTTCCATTCGTTAAATTTTTAGTTTTTTCTTTTATATCACCGTTTTTAAACGATCTCAAATTTATTAACAGCGCTATATATTGCAGGTAAAGATAGCGAACATTTTTTGCGGTTTGTTAACTGAAAGATGCCCAGCCCTATATGATACTGTGAACCCTGAGAAAGGTTTAAAATACCAAATCATCTCAATAATATGTGTTTATTACGTCTGTGAATTATTGTTAACGCCCAAATATGGGAACAATTTTCTCACAAATAATTTATCGGAAAGATCAATATTTGAATATCGAGATTAACACTTGATCTTCTCTCTTTGTTAATCTCCAGATTGATATCTGGGAAAGTGTCTAAAATTTAACCAATCAGAGTTTCGTTTGTATAAACCGAACAGCCTATCAGAAGCCGGGAAATTTTGCACACAATAAATGAGAGAACACTCCAAATAGTGGATTAAGCAGATAATCATAAGAGTCCACAGTGGATATTGAGATTAAACAAACTGGATTTAGGATATCAATTACAGTTTAAATTTCTTAATACTGAAGAAAAGAAGATTTGAAGATTGCAATACAGCTTTTAAAACTACAGAATATTTACTCAACCGAACCTCTTGACTCTTATTTTGTTTCCATCTATATATGTATATACACTTTGCTTGTCTGGGTGTCTGTTTTTTGTTTGTATCCAAAAAACGTCAAAACGGTTGAACCGATCGGGCCCAAATTGGGTGTGCATATCTCAATGTCTCCAAGGAAATCAAAATTTTTAAATTTTGTCGCCAACAAAATCCGATTTGAACTAAATTTTGAAAATCCACGATATCTTTTTTAAAATCCTCAACAGTTATTGTGTGTGTTTTTGTTTTACAATGTATACAAAAAGCCTAGTGTACGCATATTAGAATTGGGATTTTTTATAACAGATATAACGATATAATAGTAAATCTTAGTTTAGTGTATTTGTATGGAATTGACATAATTGAGTATTTGCCATGTTTAATCTCTATCAGACTCCACTTTCATAAACCTCGAACTAACCAACATCCCATATATATATATATATGTATATACTTGGGTTATCTATCTTTCTGTCTTATTGGTTTGTTTGTTAGTTTGTTTCCAAAAAACAGTCAAAACGGCTTCGTCGATTGGTCAGATTTAAGAAAATATTCATTGAAACAATTTCGATAGCATATTTTTAACACAGAAATGAATGTCCGCTGAAATTAATTTTGTGTTTGATTTAAAATGTAAGAAAGTCCAAGATAGATCAACAGAATACAGTTAGGATTATTGACAAAAAGACAGACGCAAAGCGCCCTGTAAACATACACAGACGTAATATTTGTTTAAGTAAACCAAAAACTGATTTACATTAATTGTTCCAAAAAGTTTAACATGTGCTTCCATGAACTCCAAATCTTACTTATATACATAAAGATTTGCTAATTTACAAAACTCAAAATTTACTTACAAGCATAATAACTGATTTACAAAAACTTCAAACTTACTTAAACAGAAAATTAGTATTTTCTGACATAAACTTTCTATTTCGTTTACGAACTCTAAGCTTACATTAAATTACAATTTTCTTCACAAAACTCTAAACTTCTTGCATAATGTTGATATTTGCCAACATAAACTCCAAAATTACTTGTGTATCTTCAAACTTGATTTCAAAAACTTACAATTTTCCACAGAAAACTTCAAATGGTGCAAATTCTGAATTTACTAAAACTCCAAAAATGGTTTCATAAACTTAGTATGTCTGTCATGGTGTTTGTTTGTATCCAATAAACGTTAACCAAAGAGAATAGAATATATATTAGAGGGGAATTTACTAGAGAAAAGTGTAAAACGGCCATTTTGTTGTACTGTTTCCATACTGCAGGTATGCTTCACATATTTATGCTATATAACCTTTTGGGCCCTGGAATATCATTTTATAGAAAATCTAAAATTAATATTAAAAGAAAACCAAATTATGAAATACACTGGTTTATAATTGACCAATGATCATTTCACATAGACTCTATGCATTTCATTTTACAAACGATGATTTTTCGTTATAACTATAAATCAAATGATGTTTTTTATTCACCTAATTCATTGTAAAGTTTATTTAACAGCTTTAAAAAATTCGAAATTGAAATGGATAGTCTGGGGACCATACTGTATTAATGTACTCTACTGCATACAATTTGCGAATATTTACATGATTTGTACACTTTGAACTCCCTTTTAGGCTGAAAGGGACTGAACAAATTTATACCGAGAGATTCTCTAAATTCCCCTCTAATATATATTTTATTCTCTATGACGTTAACACAGTTAAATCGAAAATTTTGTTTGGGAGCTCACATAACCCCAGGGAAGGGATGTTAAAAATTACAAAATGTGTGTCCAAAATTTTTTGATTTTTCTAAAATTTTGAAAATGTGCGAATAAATAATATCAAATTAGCGAATTTTTTTTGTTGTTATTGTTTTTAGTTGTGCACACAGATAAGGCCGCAATTAAAAGTTCAAATGGAATATGGGCGCAAAGCGCCCTAAAAACCTAGTATACTTAATATTTGCTAACATAAACTTACATAAACTAACTTTTTCTAAAGGCAACTCTGACTTAGCTGACATAAACTTACATTTTGATATTTCTTATATCAAAATCTTAGCTTATTTACATAAACTTTATATTTGCGAAATAAATCTTTATATCCTTCAGACTTTCTTATCTTAACTTAAAAACTGTTAAAGAATTATTGCACAACAATTAATGCCACAGAAATGAAATTGCGACGATTAAAAAAATGACAACTCTATGTTGTTGTTGTTGTTGTTATATAACCTTGAAGATAGACCTATGTAGAGTACATATATCAAGATATATAAGTGTTTGCCAAGATTTTTGCATGCATCGTATCAATCGCAAACTCGGAACTGCACATAGCAAAATGCATTATTATTATCGGTCTAAAAATAATCTTTAGAAATGAATTTGTTTTGTGTAAAAATTTCAGAACTATTTTACATATTTTAAATAAATTGATTAATGGTTCACTGATCACTGAGTTCCAATGCATATTGTTACGAACAATACCAAATTTTTGTCATTTTATTTGTAAAGATTTCCTTATTATAATTTAATACGTGATATTTAAGTATATTGCATGGAATTTAAAAGAATCTCCGTAAGATTTAGATCTGCAGGGATCAAGGGAGGAGACTTGATAGACGACTGTATATAATTTATTCAACCTTATAACCGGTACCATCTTTTATCATCCTTTATGAATAACCCTGTATTTAATTGATAAAAACCGATATGAAAATCAATACGAGAACTCTATTAGAAATTAAATAATAAATTTTCAGAAATAAGTAGTCTATGTTTTTTTTATATTTGAATATAATCTGATGTCGTCTCTTGTCTCGAAAACTTTTTTTTTCAACTTTATTTTTTTTCTGAACTAATCAGGAAATAAATAAACATAAACAAGACTAGCATAAATATAAAGACTAGGTATGATACGACCATACAATGGCAATGCGACATGATTGACTAGTTCTTCCTTACTGAAGACTAAATAAATAAATAGATAAATAGATATAAAATAAATAAACATAACGTTGGTTCCCGGAATTTGCAGGACAAAGTGTGGCAAGCTTGAACGCTTATCTTCCGTACCCGCTGGATTCAATAACAGGGGCAGCTGGTACTCCGTAGCTAAGATCTGGAGTGCTTTGAGCAGGTTTATAAACGGTTTTGGTTGGGGCACTGGGTGCACCATAGTCAGACAGGAAGGGTTCAATACGAGGGATATCATCCGGATCACTGAGTCCAAGATTTATTTCAGACTTGAAGTATTCGGGCAGAAGATCAGCAGCAGGATCTTGATAGCCTCCGGGCACAGTGCTTACAGGGTCAGCAGCTGGGGCACCATAGCTTTCCACAGCTGGAGCAGCTGGGGCACCATAGCTTTCCACAGCCGGAGCAGCAGGGGCACCATAGCTTTCAGCAGCTGGAGCAGCTGGAGGGACACCGTAGCTTTCAGCAGCCAGAGCAGGAGGAGGGGCACCATAACTTTCAGCAGCTTGAGGGGCACCATAGCTTTCAGCAGCTGGAGCAGCTGGAGGGACACCGTAGCTTTCAGCAGCCAGAGCAGGAGGAGGGGCACCATAACTTTGATCAGCAGGGGCTCCATAACTTTCCTCTGCTGGAGCTCCATAACTTTCATCAGCAGGTGCACCATAGCTTTCAGCAGGAGGTGCTCCGTAACTTTCTTCAACAGGTGCTCCAACATTAGAAGATCCCTTTCCTCTGGGATTGAAATTATTCTGTCTGGATCCTGATGCTCTAGCTGGAGAGGAAATAGGTCTTTTTGCTAAAGGTACAGACGGAGCAGGGGCAGTGTAACTTGGTTCATTATTGGATTCCCTGTAGTTGTAGGTAGGTAGGGGTTCATCTTCCTCTTGTTCTGAGTAGGCTGATGCTGCTGGTGCAACACCAGGAGCTGAATATCTGGATTCTGAGGAACCTGCTGCTGAGGAGTCGGGTGCGTTGTAAGAATTACCTCTGTTATAGGTTGGAAGAGGTTCCTCTTCATAATCATATTCATCAGGGCTTCCATAATTGTTATTAGAAGGAGTTGGGTTGGCAGCAGGGGAATAGCTGGAAGAGGGGGCTGCGGCACTTGGGGATGCTACTCCATAACTCTCACTGGGAGAGGAAACAGAAGGTAGAAAGTTGTCATTGAGGGGAGCTAGGGGCGGAGGTGCCCCATATTCAGTCAATGGGAAAGCAGCAGGAGAAGATGGGGCTGAATAGGATCCACGTCCTTTACTAGTTTGTACCTGGTTCCTCACATTTCCAGCAGGCTTCTGAATTGGCTGGCGGGGAGATGAAGGGCGTGGATTTTTCCTTTGTCCTCCAGACTTTCCTCTGCCTGGATTTCCCTGATCATACTGAGATACAGCAGCACTTGGAGATCCATAGCTGTCGACAGCAGGCTGGTAGGAGGAGACAGGGGCATCATAACCAGCAGGAGAAGACTGAGAACCATCTTCCGGACCTTCATAAGCTTCAGGAGAAGACTGGAAACCAGATTCATCATAGTCGGGGGGAGAGTAAGGTGCAGGTGTAGGACGAGGAGCAGCAGGTGCAGGAGCAGGTCGAGATGGTGCAGGGCGAGGAGGAGGAACGGACTGAACAGGTGGAGAAGCATAACCTCCCACAGGAGAGGAGGCAGCACCAGCCTGTGTTTCTCCAATCTCATCGTTCAAATTGTAAAATGATTCAGACTTTGAACAGTCAACGTTGAACCAATATTCACATACAAAAAACTCCTGGTTGAACAAGGTTCCGTTTGGACACAAGAAACTGTACTTGGACAACCCTCCTTTTCCATCAGCAGTACAGATGTGAAAGGGTTGGCAATCAGCTTCTGGATCTGCATAGTATCCACCCTCTGTTCTTCCTTGACAGTTGAAGCCGGTGACCGGTACCTCAGAGTAAATAGGATAATCTTCTCCAGGTGTACCTGGAACAGCCATTCTCAACATATCTATTCCTGACATAACAGGAGCCAGCTCACTGTATCCTGGTAGTAGGTCCTCTCCATAGGTTGGGATTAGGTTGGCTATGGGATCCTGGAACTGTGCTCCAGATACAGACAACAGTGCAAAACCTGAAATATTTTACATTATAATTTATCCAGATTTGACATTTTGGAAATATTTATTGACCAAGAAACAGATTAATGACTGAAACTAGGAGAAGTAGTTGAACTGCTTGATTTGAACTACTTCTTGGCATTTATTTAAATTATTTCTAGGGGACATGCAATAAGCATTCTTTAAATCATTGAGTATTTATTGTTGTCCTTAAAAAATAAACAAACTTAGAATTATCAGGATTTATATTAATTTAATCAGTTATGAAAAATTTGTTAAAATCAATACTTTAAATCAAGACTTGATTTTTGTTTCAAAATATATACTTTGCATAGGTTTGTTTAAAGACTTCCCTCAAGCAAATGCAAATTTAATTTAAATTAAACATTTTAGGGGAATTGAGTATTAAGGAAGTAGCATTAATTTTATATTAAGCATCATTCACTTTGTATTCATTATCTTGATCTTAATTATATACTAATCAGGCAGCACCAAGTTCTATTTATAAAATTAGTTTACTACAACCCTTCCTCGACGAACCCAACGCAATCTTAATACGTCTAAATATAACGTTGAGTCATTCTTCGTTTAAAACTAGATTTTTAAATTGTATAGCTTGCACTTCCGCTCTTCCTTCTAGTATTGTAATATCTAGGTACTTGATCAGTCTACTCCGCCCCCTTTACACCCCTTCTCCTACCTTCCTACCTTCCTTGTAGAATATCTAGGTACTTGATCAGTCTACTCCACCTCCTTTACACCCCTTCTCCTACCTTCCTACCTTCCTTGTAGAATATCTAGGTACTTGATCAGTCTACTCCACCCATTGTGTAAACGTGTCAACTAGAGTGTAAAAGACGGTTCAAAACAGGACAATAAATTAGCGCAGCTAATTCCGGATCTTTAAATTGCAATTTTTTTTTGCAAACCATTAATTTCGAGCATCTAGCCAGCTGTTTTATCTTTAGCAGATCTATCTCACCCAACATTAATTATACTAGTAATGATAATTCTTGTATTTCTATGGGTTTTCTTATCTAGTCACTAGCATAGATAGATTTAACACATTTCCTGAATACAGAATTCACGCTCAGAGATTCAATTTGCAGAAAGGTGTTAAAAGTTGCAAGCATGGAAATTTTCGTCTATTTTTCCTGAAGTAGATGCAATGAATTACACTATTTACAGGATTTGAATTTGATCTTGATCCAAATTTCAGCCAATTTCTAGCATGTCGTTGCTTTTGAGATTAAATTGTTTAAAGTTTACTGTTGTGAAACGTTTTTAAAGACAGTTTAACAAAGTACATGTATGTAATATTGAACGGATATGAACGGTGTAAAAGAACCAAAAAGATTTAAAGAATGGAAATAATGAAGAAAGATGCACATTGTTGCAGGATACAAGGGATGCATTGAATGCAAATTGTTGATGCAGATACTGCACTTACTTGATGCATTACAGACGCATAAAACTATTCTAGTTTAAACTAATTATAATTAAAGTTGAAAGGGTGTACAGGGTATACGGTTGCCTAATATCCAAGTTTAATGGAGGTATACAATATTTTAATCAGCTCTTGGGACAAAAATTGCGAAAAGCTGTAAATGCCCGCTAAACCACATTCCGTCCCGGGTTATAAAACATATCACACTGCGTGCACTGGAGCATTTTACACGAGGCTGGGGGGGGGGGGGGGGAGTAGAAGAGTTTCTAAACAGTTTTTTCGTTTCTTCAGAAAAATATTCTTTTTTTCCTATTTTTTTCTCACTAAAATCATATTTCTACAAGACAAATCCAAGAAGGTTGACTGATTATTTTTGGCTGATATTTAATGTAACAAATTCTGTAGATAATGTTCTCTCTTGATCCGCCATTAATGTCTATTTCAGTGTACAAGCCAAAATAAAAGATTTAAATTTCTGTAATTATGGAAATTTATTTGTTGAAGCTATAATATGTATTGAATTGTTTTTCTTCTGCAGTAGTGTTCATTTTTCATGCTGTAAAAACAGTGATAGTTTGTGTTAATATCATGGTTATGTAGCTTCTTTGTCATTATTAAAGAAAACTAAACATTTTTACAGATATTTAAATTTTCGTTGTAAAATATCTAATTATAAAAAATCAATGTTTTTTTTTAAATTCCTATCTTTTTTCTTCATCTATTTTGATGACAACTGTATAACTCTACAAAAATTAAAAATAACGGTTTTTAAAGACAAGGAAGGGCAGTATCATAAACTGGCAGGTATTATGGGTTGGTGGGTGGGTGTGTTATTCAACTTGCCAACTAACTCAACACAAATATTTTTAAAATATTCTTAAAGAATTATATTTCAACCTCACTATCGACAAAATTTGAAGCGTCATTGTTCAAGTCTTGCTCGTTGATTATTATTTTAAATATTTGTAAATATAGAATACTGTTATCCTCAAATATGTAAATATAGAATACTGTTATCTTCAAATATGTAAATATAGAATACTGTTATCTTCAAATATGTAAATTAGAATTATGTATATTTCTGAAAGAAAATTGAATGTAACAAATTTCAAAATCCTTTTGAAGGTTAATGACAGATAAGTTGGGATTTTACCAGATTCATTTAATTTTGATAAATATCTATTCTTTTTGTAACAAATCTTTTTATCTCGGAGCAAACTATATAAAAAAGAGTATTCTAAATAACGTTTTTTTAAATGCATAAAATAAAGAAAATTTAAATTATATCTCAAAACTAAGAATTTACCATTTTAAAAAGAATCTATTCTAATCCCCTTGTTAGGTTTAAATAAATATACAAGTATACAATTTACATATAACAGGATATATACTAGAATACTGAACTGGATATATACTAGAATACTGAACAGGATATATACTAGAATACTGAACATATATCTAAATAGTATACTGAACATCTAGATATATCCAGATTCCAGATATAAACTATATAGTATACTGAACATATATCCAGATTCCAGATATAAGCTACATAGTATACTGAACAGTGAACATATATCCATATTCCAGATATAAACTACATAGTATACTGAACAAATATCCATATTCCAGATATAAACTACAAGGTATACTGAACATATATCCATATTCCAGATATAAACTACAAAGTACACTGAACATATATCCATATTCTAGATATAAACTACATAGTATACTGAACATATATCCATATTCTAGATATAAACTACAAAGTATACTGAACATATATCTAGATATATACTAGTATACTGAACATATATCCAGATTTATACTAGTGTACTGAACATATATCTAGATATATACTAGTGTACTGAACATATATCTAGATATATACTAGTATACTGAATGAAAATCTGACTTTAACTAATGATTTTTTGCCACAAATAGTCATTTATTTGACCTTCACATTTAAAAATGTTTTTAGAATTTATTTATGCTTACAAGTTACATCTAAGGATCTTGTAAGAAATGGACAGCGTGATTTTTTCCAATATAGAGGGGAGGGGGCAGAAAATTTAAAGTTCTGGAATTTTTTTTTATTTAAATTTCTTATTTTGAAAAAAAATCTATTTCAATGAGACAATTATAAAAAAGACTAAACAATTATATAAACTATTATATTAAAGGGACTGTAAACGTAATTTCAAGCGACCCATCATGCAAACATGGCAATGGCAATTCACAACGGTACCCTCGATATAAGCTTTGTCTGATCAAGTATGAATTAGATATCAATGTTTATAATTTATAATTGTGAATGGAGCATTTCTACTATAGTAAAAATATATGCATTATCAGAATTTAACACTTTTAAACCTAGAAAAACGACAATATCCTCCACATTATTGATCATATATAAAAGTTTCAAGAGTATCGTTTTGAATCTGGCATTGCCACTTAAAATAACGCTTACAGTCCCTTTAAGAATAAAGGAATGTTAATATTTTGATCTGTTGATTAAAACTGTTGGCGCTGTAACGCCTCTGTAAATTCCTGACCAAAATTATATTAGATTAATTAAATATAGAATTAATTAGATATTTAAAGGTGGAGGAAAAGTAGACAAGGATATATAATTAATAATGAATTGACCCGGGTCTATAATATTCCAGGCGGGCCAATAATCTGTTTGTTTGATATTTTAGTCCTGACTGGCGCCCCTGGCGCTTGTATTGGCGCCGTATATGTGCACAAATCCACCTCTATTCACCAAAAATTTGGCTTAACCTTGGTTGGGTGCGAGGGGGGGGGGAGTCAACAGTATAGATTACTTTTTGCTTTGCATTCTATAGTCCTCCTTACACACACACATATATATATATATATATATATATGTATATAACATTGCTGGCTTAAAGTACGTTTTCAGACTAATCTTTATATCTCTAAGAGATATAAATCAATATGGAGTGGGGGGGGGGTACTCTGTCAATATTATTCCAGCTATTTTAAGTTGATTATGAAAACATCTTATAAATCCTTGACGAAGATTTGCATGGAAATATCTGATGAAAAAAACAGGAAGGGTTTTGATCTCTGAGTGCCGAGGAAACAGTATTTGCATGACATCGTACTGCCAAATTTCTGCAATTTCCGGAAAATAATTCGCATATATTTAAGCGAACGGTGAATTTGATTTTTTATTTGACCACGACTGCAGTGTTTTCAATATCTTCTCACATATAGTCACATGGAAACCATTTTATTACGAGGCTTTCATGTTAACCGTACCATTGTTTGAGATTCTGTTAAATCATTTAATGCCGGGGGGGGATTCAAAGAGTTTAAATGATCACAGAGTTAACAGATTTAAAGATTTGTATAAACTGATGTATGGAGTTCCTAAAAAAGCTACATTGAAATGTACTGATAATTTTTAAAATGTAAGAAAATTGTAAAAATGTAAGACAACATTTCTTATCACATGAAATCTTTCATCAATTTTGGATGTAATCCATGTGTAACGAACCCTAAATGAATTAACCCCATTCTTTTGAAAATTTTCAATTTTTTTTCCTCCAATAATCTTCCAAACCGAGAGAAGAAAGGCAAGTTTTCTTCTACGTTTTCCAAAATGTATCATCATCCATAATAATAAGAAATAATAATTTCTTTGTTTTTTGTGTTGTCAAACTTTGAAATTACAAGGTAAAGTGCAATGGCATATATTGAATGGTAACGTCATTTAAAATTGGCAACCACCCTCTCCCCTTCCCCCTCCTCCTGGTCCTGAGAAATGATTGGTCTGACTAAGTGTGACAGTTGACACTGGGCACGTGTCTGTGTGGCCATATTATCTCGGCAGAAGAATTCTAAAAATGTTTCAACTACTGGTCAAATAGGTTCATTCATTCATCCTCTCATTCTCAGGCGGGGGGGGGATGGGGGTGCAGAAACCCCCCCATAGGGTTCAAGCTTGGGGGGAAGGGGGTGCAGAAACCCCCATAGGGTTCAAACTGGGGGGGATGCATAAACCCCCCATAGGGTTCAAGCTTAGGAGGGTGCAGAAACACCCCATAGGGTTCAAACTGGGGGGGGATGCAGAAACGCCCCATAGGGTTCAAGCTTGGGGGGAAGGGGTGCAGAAACCCAAATNTAAAGATATTTAATACAGGGGGAGGGGTGAGGGTGCCTTGAACAGGTGATTAACAAATTTATTAAAAAAATAACCAGAAAAGAGCTTACAAAGAAGAAGGACATTGAATGTGTAAAAATGAGGAAAAGAGTTTAAAAAGGTAATTAGGACTACGTTTTTTTATTCAGAGGCCAGATAAACAGTATGATTTCTGAAGGAAAGAATATAGAAGAGAACGTCAGACTCAGCAAAGACAAAAAAGAGAAGAAATATAAAAAGAAAATAATAAAAAATAAGAGAAGAAAAGATTGTTAAAGATAATTGTAGAGAAAAGAAGAGAAGAGAATAAAAGATAGTTTGAGATAATGATAGAGAAAATAAGAAGATAAAAGATTATAAGAGAAAAGAAGATACAAGAATAAAGATTATCAGATATTAAAGTGGAGAAAAAAAGAGAAAATAAGAGAATAAAAGATAATAGGAGATAATAGTAAAGAAAAGAAGAGCAAACAAGAGAATAAAAGATAATTAGAGATAATATAAGAAAAAATAACTAAATGGAGTAAAGCGAATTATAAGGAAGAAAAAATGAAATAAAATAATAAAGGAATAAATAAGAAAATTATGTAAAAGAAGAATATAGAAAAATAAGGAAAGAATAAGGAGAAAAGATAAAAAGAGTGTGGAAGAAAGTGCCCTATATTGAATGAAGTATTGAAATATTAATATAATCTGATTTTCAATATTTTAGCTTCGTGCAGCACTGTGTTCCGAGTTAAGAGGTTGAAACCGGTTAGAATTTGACCAATTATTCGATAAAGATTTTAAATATGATGGATGTAGCTTTTATCTAAATCAAGGACTAACCATGCATGCATATTCAAGTATACGCCCGACAGGGTGGGGTTAGTTCAAACTATTTTATAATTAACCTCCTCCCCCCCCACTCTCCCCCCTGATTAATAATTTCCCACTTCTTTGAGATGCCCCCTCCTCCCCCCAAACCTA